TGTAGCGGTGTGATCATAGCATACTGTAACTGTGGACTCCTGGGCTCAGGCAGTCCTCCTGTTCCAGCCTCCCCAGTAGCTGGGACAGTAGGTGTGGGCCACAACAACCAGCTAATTCTTAAATTTTTTTTGTAGAGACAGGATGTCCCTATGTTACTCAGGCTGGTTCTGAACTGGCCTCAAGTGATTCTACTGTCTTAGTCTCAAAGTGCGGGGATAACAGATCTGAGCCACCGCTTCTAGCTGATTTTTTTTTCTTTTTAACAAAAATTTTAAGCAATGATCTAGTGTGTATTATTTGGTAGGATAGGAGGATTATTGCCTGCCTTTTAGCTTGGCTTACTGGTAAGCTAAAGGAAAACTTTGCCTACTAAGAAAATAGACTATGCTGGGTTGGCACCCATAGCTCAGGGAATAGGGCATCAGCCACATACACTTAAGCTGGCAGGCTCGAGCCAGCCCAGGCCTGCTAAACAACAATGACAACTGCAACAAAAAAACTAGCTAGGCATTGTGGTGGATGCCTGTAGTCCCAGCTCCTTGGAAGGCTGAGGCAAGAGAATTGCTTAAGCCCAAGAGTTTGAGGTTGCTGTGAGCTGTGATGCCATGGCTTTGTACTGAGGGTGACGTAATGAGACTCTGTCACCAAAAAAAAAAAAGACTGGAATTTTGAAGAGTAAATTTATAAATCCTAGGGCCATCATGAAGTTTCCTGTTATGTGGCAAAGCCTGGACAGTATTTGGATCTACATGACTCCTATAAAAGGACAGCTAACAGGGGTTTCATCTGTTTCTGGATACTGCTATGCCTCTAGGACCCAAAAGGTTCCTGACACATAGTGACCACACTCAATAAATATTGTATTTATTTATTTAGAGACAGAGTCTCACTATGTCTCCCTGGGTAGAGTACCATGGCATCACAGCTCACAGCAACATCAAACTCTTGGGCTTAAGCAATGCTCTTGCCTCCCAGGTGCCCACCACAATGCCCAGCTGTTTTGTTGTTGTTGTTGCAGTTGTCATTGTTGTTTAGCTGGCCTGGGCCAGGTTCAAACCCACTACCCTTGTTATATGTGGCTGGTGCCATAACCATTGTGCTATGGGTGCCAAGCCTCAATAAATATTTATTGAATAAATGAAGCAAAGCTGCTGAAATAAAGGCTGATAACAATTATTGGTAATTTCAATCTGGAGCTAGAATTTAATATGCCCCTTAATACTTGAGAATGACTGTTATTGTCTTCATTCTTGTTGATTAGATAAGATTTCACTGGTGACTGGCCTTAAATTTATGACTGTGTTAATTGACATAGAAGTTAAGTTTACTAGTGTCTTCGCTGCTTTCTTTTTTTTAATTGAGATAGAGTCTTGCTCTGTTGAGCCAGACAGAGATGGGATCTACGTTGCAGTGGTGTCATTTCATTGTAGTTCACTGCAACCTCAAGCTCCTGGGCTCAAGTGATCCTCCTGTCTCAGCCTCTGGAGGAGCTGGGACTACAGGTGTGCAGCACAACACCTAGCTAAATAGTCTTTTTTTTTTTTTTTTGAGACAGTGTCTTAGTATGTTGCCCTTGGTAGAGTGCTATGGCGTGACAGCTCACAGCAACCTCAAACTCTTGGGCTTAAGTGATTCTCTTGCTTCAGCCTCCTGCATAGTTGGGACTATAGGCACCCACCACAATACCCGGCTATTTTGTTGTTGTTGTCATTGTTGTTTGGCAGGCCTGGGCCTGGTTCCAACCTGCCAGCCCTGGTGTATGTGGCTGGCGCCCTTGCCACTGAGCTATAAGCACTGAACCTAAATTTTCTTTTTTTATTTTTAGTGGAGATGGGGATCTCACTTTTCCTCAGACTGGTCTCAAATTCCTGAGTTCCACTGATACTCCCACCTTAGTCTCCCAGAGTACTGGGATTGCATGTGTGAGTAACCCAGAATGGCCTGTAAATACTTTTTTAAAAGCTGTATTGAAAGCTGGGTATGGTGGCTCATGCCCATAATCCTAGCACTTTAGGAGGCCCAGATGGGTGGATTGCCTGAGTTGAGGAATTAGGAGACCGTCCTGAGCAAGAGCAAGACCCTAGTCTCTCCGAAAATAGAAAAACCAGCCAAGTGTTGTGGTGGGTGCCTGTAAGTCCCAGTTACTGGGAAGGCTTAAGGCAAGAGAATATCTTGAGCCCCTGGGTTTTAGGTAGTTGTGGGCTATGATGCCATGGTACTCTATCCAGGGCAACAAAGTAAGACTCTGTCTCAATAAGAAAAAAAAAGCTATATTAAATAACTGATTTAGTGTTATTTTTATTTTTATTTTTTAGAGACAGAGTTTCACTTTATTGCCCTCGGTAGAGTGCTATGGCGTCACAGCTCACAGCAACCTCCAACTGCTGGGCTTAGGCAAGTCTCTTGCTTCAGCCTCCCAGTAGCTGGGACTATAGGCGCCCACCAGAATGCCCGGCTATTTTTTCGTTGCAGTTTGGCTGGGGCCAGGTTCGAACCTGTGACCTTCCACATATGGGGCTGGCGCCCTACCCACTGAGCCATAGGTGCTGCCCTAGTTTTATTTTTTTACACATACAAATACAAGGATCATTTATTCTCATGACATGTCATTGATAAAATTGGCATATTTCTGCACTAATATAAGGAGATAAACTTTTTTTTTTTTTTATTTTTGAGACAGAGCCTCAAGCTATCACCCTGGATGGAGTGCTGTGGCATCACAGCTCACAGCATCCCCCCACTCCTGGGCTCAAGTGATTCTGCTGCCTCTGCCTCCCAAGTAGCTGGGACTACAGGCGCCCACCACAGTGCCTGGCTATTTTTTGGTTGCAGGTATCATTGTTAGTGGGCTCTGGCTGGATTCAAACCCACCAGCTCAGGTGTATATGGCTGGCGCCTTAGCCGTTTGAGCCACAGGCACCGAGCCACAGATTAACTCTTGATATTTCCACCAAGACCAAGCACTAAGCATGTGGCTGCTTTTAGGCAGTTCTGCATAAGATTTTTTTCCCCACTCATGCATGCTGTCTCACCTTTGTTTAATCTCTTCAATTTCATTTATTTATTGGTTTGGGGCCTATATCACAGTGGTTACAGTGCCAGCCACATACACTGAGGCTGGCGAGTTCGAACCCTGGGTCGGGCCAGCTAAAATAACAGTGACAACTGCAACAAAAAATAGCCGGGTGTTGTGGTGGACACCTGTAGTCGCAGCTACTTGGGAGGCTGAGGCAAGAGAATCACTTAAGCCCAAGAATTGTAGATTGCTGTGAGCTGTGATGCCATAGCACTCTACCAAGGGCGACATAGTGAGACTCTGTCTCAAAAAAAAAAATTATTTATTTATAATGCCATGGCGTCATAGTGTACAGCAACCGCAAACTCTTGAGCCCAAATGATTTTCAGGCCTGAGCCTCCCAAGTAGCTGGGACTGTATGTGCCTAGCACAATGCCTGGCTATTAGAGACCAGGTCTCACTCTTGCTCAGGCTGGTCTTAAACCTGTGAGTTCAAGCAATCCACCCACCTCGGCCTCCCAGAGTGCTAGGATTATAGGTGTGAGGCACCTCGAATCTCTTCAGTTTTAACTCCACTCTTTCTGAAGCACTTACAAAAGTTGTACATAGAAGTAATTTTCCTTTTGTACACCATTTTGTTAAAAGAACATGCATATATGCTCAACTGATGTAATATCACTGTCCTCCCAGTTAATGTAGCTAAGCTACATTACTATTTTATAGTTTCACAGATTTTCAGAATTACCATTAAAAGTAAGATTTTAAGTATATCCTTTTTTCATTATTTCTTAATTTCTAATCTTTATAAATGTTGATACTTGGTTTTCCTACAAGTGGTAGAATGAAGGGCAGCTTGGGTATAACTGAAGGGTAAAATGGGAGGTAATAGTCCTTGGCACTCAGCTTGGAGAGTTTATCTCTTTGGTAGTGGTAGGAATAGAATCCGGCCAGTGTTATGTGGAGAGTTAGAGCAGTGCTCTGCATTTCCTGCAGACAGCCATGTTGATTGTTCTTCTCCATGAGATTGGGTATTGAGCAGAAAAGATAAAACTAGAAACCTGGAGAAGCAAACATTTGGACTATGTATAATAAAGATTAGTAGCCATAAAGTAGTAAAAAAAAAAAAAATTCATATAGATGGAGAAAAATGGGCAAAAGACAAAACAGGTAATACATTTTTTAAAATTATAGATGCACATAATTTAAAAAAATAGAAATTTTATTTATATATTTTTATCATAAATTTTATAATTTTAAAAGTATCTATTAACATAAAATTAGCTATTTTTGAATTATTTTACAATTAGCCATTTTAATTATTTTAAAGTATACAACTCAGTGGCATTAATTGCATTCACAGTGTTATGTATCTGTTACCACTATTTCCACACCACTATTTCCACAACCATTTGATCATACCAGGGACTCTAGAACTGTTAAACAATAACTTACCATTGCTCCTCCAGTGAGTCCCTACTTTTTGTCTACTGAATTTGCCTATTATAGGTACCTCACATAAGTGGAATCATAAATATTTGTACTTTTGTGTTTTGCTTATTTAACTTAGTATAATATTTTTAAGAATTATCTGAGTTGTAGAATGTGTCATGATTTCACTCCTTTTGATAGATGGAGAATATTCCATTTTGTGTATGTACCACATTTTATTTATCTATTTATTCATCAGTAGACACCTAGGTTACTTCCCCTTTTGGCTATTGTCAGTAATGCTGTAGTGAACATTAGTATACAAATGCTTGAGTCCCTGTTTTCAGTTCTTTTGGTTTTATTTGCTGGTTTATAGGATGATTTCATATTTAATTTTTTGAGGAACTGCTTGTTTTCCATAGCAACGGTACCACTTTACATTCCTAGCACCAACATAAGAAGGTTCTAATTTCTTAGCATCCTTACTGACAGTACTTTCTATTGGTGTTTTTTTTTTTTAATATCCATCTAATAGGTGTAAAGTGCTATCTCTTCTTTTGTATAGAATGCTTCATGAATTTGCATGTCTTCCTTATGGAGGGGCCATGCTAATCTTCTCTGTATCGTTTCAATTTTAGTATATGCACAGCCGAAGTGAGCACTCATTTTGTGGTTTAGATTGGTGTTTCCCTAAGGACTGGTGATGTTGAGCATCTTTTCATGTGCTCGTTAGCAATTTGTGTATCATCTTTATAGAAATGTCTGTTCAAGTCATTTATTTTTGAATTGGTTTGTTGTATTATTTGTGAGTTATAGTGGTTTATTTAGTCTGGGTACTACTTCCTTATCAAACATGATTTACAAATATTTTCTCACACTTTGTGGGTTATTTTTTCACTATGTTGGTCATCTCCTCTGATACATGAAAAGTTTATTCTTTTTTTTTTTTTTTTTTTAAGAGATGTTGCTCTGTTGTCCAGGCTACAGTGTGATGGCATGATCATAGATAGCTGTCTGTAACCAAGCAATCCTCCTGCCTCAGCCTCTCAAGTAGCTAGGACTCATACCATTATACCTGACTAATTTTCTAATTTTTTTTTTTTTTTGAGACAGCCTGTGTCACTCTCGGTAGGGTGCTGTGGTGTCACAGCTCATAGCAACCTCAAACTCTTAAGAGAATTAAGCAATTCTCTTGCCTGAGCCTCCCAAGGAGCTGGGACTACAGGTGCCTGCCACAACGTCTGACTATTTTTCTGTTGCAGTTGTCATTGTTGCTTAGCTGGCCTGGGATGGGTTCGAACCCGCCAGCCTTGGTGTATGTGGCTGACTCTATAACCACTGTGCTACATGCACCAAGCCTAATTTTTAAAGTTTTTTGTAGAAGCATGGTCTTACTATGTTGCTCAGACTGGTCTGGAACTCCTGGCCTCTACCAGTCCTTCCACCTTGGCCTCCAAGAGTGATGAGATTACAGGCATGAGCTTCAAAAAAATTTAATTTTAATGAAGAATAGCTTTTCTGTTTGTTTATGCTTTTGATAGCATATCAAAGAATCCATTGTCAAATCCAGAGTCATGAAGAGTTACTCCTATGTTTTAAACTTAGTCATTTTAGCTCTTAAATTTAGCTCTGACCTTTTTTGTTTTTTTAATTTTTGAGACAGCATCTCACTATGTCACCCTCTGTAGAGTGCAGTGGTGTCATAGTTCACAGCAACCTCAAACTCTTGGGCTCCAGAGATTCTCTTGCCTCAGCCTTTCTTGTAGCAGGGACTGTAGGCGCCTGCCACAACATCTGGCTTTTTTTGTTATTGTTTGTTTAGCAGGCGGGGGCTGGTTCAAAGCCACTAGCCCCTGTGCATGTGGCTGGCACCCTAACTGCTGAGCTATGGGCGCTGAGACACTTTGACCTTTTTTCTTTCTTTCTTTCTTTTTTTTTTTTTTTTTTTTTTGAGAGAGTCTCCCTTTGTTGCCCTCAGTAGAGGGCATCACAGCTCTTTGGATCCTCCAACTCCTGGGCTCAAGCGAGTCTCCTGCCTCCGCTTCCCAAGTAGCTGAGACCACAGGTGCCTGCCATAATGCCCGGCTATTTTTTGGTTGCAGCTGTCATTGTTGTTTGGTGAGTCCGGGCTGGATTCAAACCTGCCACCTTAGGTGTATGTGGCTGGCGCCTTAGCCACTTGAGCCACAGGCACTGAGCCACTTTGACCTTTTTTAGTTAATTTTTTATATGGTGTTCAGCTTCATTCATTTGCATATGGAGATTCAGTTGCCCTGGTACAGTTTGTTTCCCTATTGTGTGGACTTGGCACCTTTGTCAAAAATAAATTGGTCATAGATTTTTGCTTTTATTTCTGATTCTATGTCCTTATTCTGGTACCACACTGTTTTGATTTTTTTTTTTTTTTTTTTTTTGAGACAGAGTCTTACTCTGTCACCCTAGGTAGAGTGCTGTAGTGTCATCATAGCTCACAGCAACCTAGCAATCCTCTTGCTTTAGCCTTTCAAGTAGCTGCGACTACAGGTACCCACCATAATGCTTGGCTTGTTTTCCTATATTTAGTAGAGATGAGGTCTTGCTCTTGCTTAGGCTGGTCTTGAGCTCAGAAGTTCGAAACCAGCCTCAGCAAGTGTGAGACCTGGCCTTTATTAAAACTAGAAAAACTAGCTAGGCATGGTGGTGCACACTTATAGTCTCAACTACTTGGGAGGCTGAGGCAGGAAGAGTGCTTGAGCCCAGGAATTTGAGTTTACTGTGAGCTGTGACACTGTAGCATTCTATCTAGGGTAACAGAGTAAGACTTTGTCTCAAGAATATATATTTTATTTTGCTTTGAGAAAGCCAGTAATGATTCTAAGAAGCAGTAATGATAAAGGATATGGTTAGTATACTATATCTCTGTTAACCCAAAGCATATGTTTCACCTCACAGAATTCCACTCTGACTTTTATATTTTTAATTTCTTTTGTTCAAAAGAGGACCCCATTTTTTTTTAATTTTAATATTTTTTTGTTGTTGTTTTTTGAGACAGAGTCTCAGTTGCCCTCAGTAAAGTACCATGGCATAGCTCATAGCAACCTCCAATTCTTGGGCTCAAGTGATCTTCTTGCCTTAGCCTTCCCAGTAGCTGGGACTACAGGCACCCACCGCAATGCCTGGTTGTTTTTAGAGATGGGGTCTCACTCTTGCTCAGGCTGGTCCTGAACTTCAGAGTACAAGCAATCCACCCACCTTGGCCTCCCAGAGTGCTAGGATTATAGGTGTGAGCCACAGCGCCTAGCCAGGACCCCATTTTAAGTAGCTGATTTGAAGAGTTCATAATCTAAAGTCATTTTTCTCCACCGGATATTTTCTTTTCAGTATGTAAACTGCTAAATGGCAAATGACTGAGTCAGTTATAAAGAATTTGTACTATAGTAAAAGCTAATTTATAATAACTGTCAATCGATGACAAACTTCTACACCCATGCCTAAAAATTAAGTACAGTATTGAGGTCAGCATTAGCATGATTCTTCATTTGGTCAAATTTCTTTTCCTAAATAACACTGTCAAGAAATCCAAAAATGAAACCTTAGTGAGTCCTTCCAGAGGTACATAATTTTCCAATGATTTTCTCTGGTTGTAGAGTCTGTTCAGTCATTTTCTGAAACCTTTTCTAGTTTAACTTTTGCAGTATTTTCTTGATGTATTTGTTTTCTTCTTTTGCTCTTTCTCCCTGGCCTCAGTTATCTTGGCCAACTTCCAAGACAGGACGGCACTTGCTAGGAATAGTGGGATAAGGGCCAGAATAACTGTAGTCAGGAAGCCACGTGGGTCTTTTGTAGCCTGTGCTACAACATACTTGGCCCAAGTCTCTAACATCTTCGTGGAAGTCTTAGGAAAACTTAAGCTTGAGTTGCTATCTCTTAACTTTGTCCTAGTATTATATTAGTGAGGCAATCACAGTTCTAGACCACCTTTGGTGGTTTGTTGTCTTCTTTAGTTCTACCATACACTTCTGAGAGAAGGTTTAAATTCATTAGACCAGAAGCCTGGCTATTTTTTTTTTTTAACTCCATTGATCTACTCTTTTGGAATTTATTTTAACAACCTAATGAGATACACAAGGATATTACAGCTTTATTTATAAAGTAAAAAAATTGGAAAGGATCAAAACAACCTTTGTAACAAAGGAGTTTTGTCATATTTATATGATGGAATGGAATGATCTTAAGACACTAAAGTCATATTTTTGAAAAATACTGGAACAAGAAGTGCTTGATATATAAGTGAAAAGGCAAGGTTAAAAATTATTCCAATTTTGTTGTTTTGTTTTTTGTTTGTCTTATTTAGAGTTATTGAGACAAAGTCTCACTCTGTTGTTAACTACGCTGTAGAGTACAGTGGCATCATCATAGTTCACTGCAAGTTCAAACTCCTGGGCTTAAGCAATCCTCCCTCAGCCTCCTGAGTAGCTGGGATTATAGGCACCTGCCACCACACCTGGCTAATTCTTTCATTTTTGGTAGAGATGGGGGTGGGAGGGTATCCAGCTGTGTTCCTTAGGCAGGTCTTGAATTCCTGGCCTCAAGCAATCCGCCTGCCTTGGCCTTCCAAAGTATTAGGATTACAGGCATGAGCCACCATGCTTAGCCTATCCCATTGTTTTAAAAAACAACATATGGCTTGGCACCCATAGCTCAGTGGTTAGGGCACCAGTCACATATACCCGAGGCTGGCAGGTTCCAACCTGGCCCGGGCCTACTAAACAAGAGTGACAACTGCAACAACAACAAAATAGCCGGGCATTGCAGCAGGTGCCTGTAGTCCCAGCTACTTGGGAGGCTGAGGCAAGAGGATTGCATAAGCCCAAGAGTTTGAGGTTGCTGTGAGCTGTGATGCTATGGCATTCTACAGAGGGCAACATAATGAGACTGTGTCTCAAAAGAAAAAAAAAATACCATATGTGTGTTAATAAATCTAACATGTGAAAGAAAATAGATCAAATTGTTATATCAGTATCTTTGGGTGATTTATTTGGTTATCTTCATTTTTCATTGCTTTTCAAATCTACACATTGTTTTGTGAGATCAGAAAAAGACCTCAGTCTGCATTTAAGAAAAAAAGGGCAGCGATAGTGTTTCTCAAACCACTTGCCTCTGGAGAAGGACATACTTAATAATGTGACATTAATTTCCATTTAGAAGCAGTTTTAAAGTTCTTTCCTATTTTCTCAGCAGTGGTGTGTTTTGGGAAATGTAATTAAGTCAGCAGTAGCCTCATTGGCCTTTTTTAAATTTATGTAACAGGGTAAAGTGCTTTATAAAGTTCGCTGGAAAGGATATACATCGGATGATGATACCTGGGAGCCTGAAATTCACCTGGAGGATTGTAAAGAGGTGCTTCTTGAATTTAGGAAGAAAGTTGCAGAGAACAAAGCCAAAGCAGCCAAGAAGGACATTCAGGTATCATGTTTTGACTCAACATTTGTTTTTTTTGTTTGTTTTTATGTATATAGTTCATCATAAATTTTATTGTTTTAAATTATGTGTACTGAATAACTTACAAATAACAAAATATTCCTCAGTGTAAATTCCATATAGACAGTTGGTTCTTACAAAATGCATTCAGTGACTTTTGTTGAATTTTTTCTGTACCCAAGCTACAATTGCAGTTGACAAACAAGTATAGTTGGGATGTGAATATTGGTATTAAGAGTAAGATGAATGTAGAAAAAAAAGACATGTCAGAACTTTACTTGTTCGTCTAAGATGTGACCAACTTGTTTTTTAATACTTTGTTTAATCTGCATTATTAGCTTATCTTACATCTTTTACTGCTACTTAAAATAAAACCTTTCTTAGATCACACCATCAAGCTACAAATTTTAGTCCATTTCAGATTACTCACAGGTTGATTTTCCAGGTCTTGTTCTTTTCCCTTCACACTTCAATTTTTAGCTTTTTTAGTAGCTCTTTCTGATATAATAGATAAGACTAAAGACATTGGAGGAACTCAGATAAGTAAAAATTCTGTCATCAGCAGTTTGGAAAAAGATTTGATGGTGGGCTCGAGTTGGGTGATGTGAAACTAAGGCATAAATTTGATTCCTGGGTTTTTCTTTTCTTTTATGGATTTGTTCTTGTCGTTATAGCTCATTGCAACTTCAGGCTCCTGGGCTCAAGTAGTCTTCCGGCCTCAGCCTCCCAAGTAGCTTGGACTGCGGGCTAGAACTCCACCTAATTTTTCTGCTTTTAGTAGAGAATAGGGTCTCACTCTTGCCTAGGCTGGTCTGGAACTCCCGACTTCAAGGAATCTTCCCTCCTTGGCCTCCCAGAATGGTAGGATTACAGGTGTGAGGTATCATGTCTGGCCAGGATTTGTTAACTTTTTAATCCTTAATTATCTTATTCTATGAATAATTGAGTTAGCTTTATTGATGACTCTTATGGGAACACCCTCATTTAAATTTTCCAAATTTCAGTTACAACTTCTGATTATTTATAAATAAAGGCCACTTACATTCAACTTCTTGCTTTTATCTTTAGAGTTTTCTCTATTTTTTTAAGAAATAATTACCATATCTTAGAATATTGGCAGGGGTTCTTAAACTTAGAACTATGTAGTGAGAATTTCTCACATTAGGAAACTGATTTTTGATTATTACTTATTTTAAGTGCAGAACATTGACCTCCTTTCTCCCTGTTATTTGTTTTAACCATCTTTTTAAAAATGCCTACTATTTTTTTTTAATGAACAAAACAATATCAGGACCCAGTTTTGACTGTGTGTATTGGTTGTTGATAAAAATAATAGCAATAACAGAAGCAGCGGGTATTTACTGCATACATGCCAAACACTGGATCAGCCCATTAGTATATGGATGACGATGGGGCAACTAAAACTTAGAAAGGTGAGGAATTAGCCCAGGTCACCCACTTAGCAAAGACAGGGCCAGGCAGCTGCAGTCTTTATCACTGTGCAAGGATGTCTTTAGTTTGGGCCATATCTTGCAATATAGTTGAAGAATAGAACTACCAGTTTTATAAATTCATGCTATAGTGACAAGGCCTTTAATAATATGGTCTTTTTTTATACATCTTTTTTTAATTTTTCGTTGCCGTTTTTTTTGGCTGGGGCCGAGTTTGAACCCACCACCTCCAGTATATAGGACTGGCGCCCAACTCCTTGAGCCACAGGTGCCTCCCAATAGTATGGTCTTAATTTTTTTATTTTTTACTTATTTTTTTAAGACAGAGTCTTACTTTGTTACCCTTGGTAGAGTGCCATGGTGTCACACCCAAGCTCTTGGGTTTAAGCGATTCTCTTGCCTCAGCCTCCCAAGCAGCTGGGACTAACAGGCTCCTGCCACACTCCTGGCTATTTTTAGAGATGAGGTCTCGCTGTGACTCAGGCTGGTCTCGAGCTTGTGAGTTCAGGCGATCCACTTACCTCAGCCTCCCAGAGTAATAGGATTATAGGCATGAGCCATTGTACCCAGCGGATAGTATGATTTTTAAATTGCTGAGCAAAGCTGGGTGTGGTGGTACACGTTTGTCGTCCCAGCTACTGGGGAGACTGAGGTAGGAGAATCACCTTAGCCCAGGAGTTTGAGGCTGCAACGAGCTATGACAATACCATAGCATTTATTTAAACAAACAAAAAAAAATTAAGCAGATTGCTGGGTACTCTTATAATTATTATAAAGGAACCCCTCTACAAAAGGAGTTTAGATTAGAGACTTTTATCTTCTATTCTTTTGTTTTAGTTATACTTCACCTTTTTTTTTTGAGACTGAGTCTCAGTCTGTCACCCTGATTAGATGCCATGGCCTAGCTCACACATAACAACCTCAAACTCCTGGGCTCAAGCAATCCTCCTGCCTCAGTCTCCTCAGAAGCTGGGACTATAGGTGCTATCACAATGCCTGGCTAGTTGGGGTTTTTTGTGGTTTTTCATTCTGTTTTTGTTTTTATCTATTTCTTTCTTTCTTTCTTTTTTTTTTTTTGAGACAGAGCCTCAAGCTATCCCCCTGGGCAGAGTGCTGTGGCACCACAGCTCACAGCAACCTCCAACTCCTGGGCTCAAGCGCGTCTCCTGCCTCAGCCTCCCAAGTAGCTGGGACCACAGGCACCCGCCACAATGCCTGGCTATTTTTTTTGGTTGCAGCCGTCGTCGTTTGGCGGCCTGGACTGGATACGAACCCGCCACCTTAGGTGTATGTGGCTGGCGCCTTAGCCACTTGAGCCATAGGCGCTGAGCCGTTTTTATCTATTTCTAATAGAGACAGGGTCTGTCTCTCACTTAGGCTGGTCTCAAACTCCTGAGTTCAAGCAATCCCAGAATGCTGGGATTATAGGCATGAGCCACTGCACTAGCCTATACTTCACTTTTCTAGAATAGATACCTGCTCTCATCTTCCATATTTCTTTCCCTTCAAGCACTCATTCCTTCAAATACACCTGTTTTACTAAGTGATTAATTCATATTCCTCTCAAAATTTAGACTTTTTGACTGGTTTAGAGCATATTTCTTTGCTACCTTATTAAGAAAAATTTGTTGAAACTGCTGCCAAGAGGTCTTGCTGTAAAGAATATTGGGATTATTGTCCCTTTGATGTCATGGTGTTCATTTTATTAATTTACTTATTTTTTGAGACAGAGTCTCACTGTGTCGTCCTCTGTAGAGTGTTATGGCGTTACAGCTCACAGCAACCTCAAATTCTTGGACTTAAGCAATCCTTTTGCCTCAGCCTCCCAAGTAGCTGGGACTACGGGCACCGGCTGCAACTCCCAGCTATTTTTTTATTGCAGTTGACTAGCTGGCCCGGGCCGGGTTCGAACCCACTACCCTTGGTGATGTGGCTGGTGCCGTAACCACTGTGGTATGGGCACCAAGCCTGTGATGGTGTTTAAATCATCACTTGTTCTTCATTTGCTAAGCCCAGTTAAGCCCAACTTACAGCTTCTTGTTTTCAAAAAAATTTTTTTTTTATTTTTTTGAGACAGAGTCTCAGGCCATCCCCCTGGGTAGAGTGCTGTGGCATCTTATCTCACAGCAACCTCCAACTCTTGGGCTCAAGCAATTCTTTTACCTCAGCATCCCGAGTAGCTGGGACTACAGGTGCCCACCACAATGCTCGGCTATTTTGTTGTTATAGTTGTCAATTGTTGTTTAGCAGGCCCAGGCCAGGTTTGAACCCACTTGCCTCAGTGTATGTGTCCAGCACCCTAACCCCTGAGCTATGAGTGCCGAGCATATTCCCACTATCTTTTTCACCCCAGAACCATCTCTTTCTTAGGTACTGTAAGGAAAACATTTTTTGAAATATGGTTGTCTTTTCTCTTCCTCCTTTCCAACCCCAAGTCATTTAGACAGTTTTAGGAGATGGGAACTAAAAATAGTGCATGGTGGTTTTGTGTCTGTGCAAATACTTTATTCTTAAGTTTCTTTTTTTCAATTTCAGAACAGAAAAATATAGGAAATGTTTAACATTATGTAACACAAATAAAATTAATTGGGAAAATAGGTATTCCTGGACAATCTCAGTTCCATATATAACTGAAAATTAGTGAGATCCAAGGTCTTAGAAACTTTGTCTTGGATTGGTAACTACTTTGTTGGCAACCAAAAAAATGAGTTAGAAATGTTGAAGTTAAAAATAATTTATTAACCCACTGTGACACCATTATTGTCCACTGTTGTGTCCTTTTGGGGACTTCAGTGGCACTGAAGTTTTTGTCCCTGTGTTTGATCTACTTTTAAAAATTGATATTCATCATCACCAGTAGGACCTATTTGCTAAATCAAATATATAGGTAGAATATAACTTCTGTTTAGGTAAGTAATTTTAGAGAGTTGAGATTCTGCTTGGGAAAAAAAAATTTTCTACCAGGTTTCAAAAACCTTGTTAAATTAACCAGTGTATTTTAACTTTTTTTGTATTTTATAGAGACTGTCATTAAATAATGATATATTTGAGGCAAACTCTGATAGTGATCAGCAAAGTGAGACAAAGGAAGATACTTCCCCAAGGAAAAAAAAGAAAAAATTAAGGCATAAAGAGGAGAAAAGCCCTGATGATCTGAAAAAGAGAAAAGCAAAGACTTGGAAACTGAAAGATAAATCCAAATCAGACCTGGAGAGCTCCTTGGAAAATGTAGTTTCTGATTTAAGGACAAAGAAAAGAATTTTAGAAGCTAAAGAAGAATTAAAGGAATCCAAAAAGCCCAAAAAAGATGAAATGAAAGAAAATAAGGAATTTAAGAAAGTTAAAAGGGCTGAAATAAGAGATTTAAAGACTAAAATAAGAGAAGATCCCAAAGAAAACAGAAAAACAAAAAAAGAAAAATGTATTGACTCTCAAGTGGAATTTGAATCGAGTGTACTTAGTGATTCCCCCTTTCAAGAAGATGACAGTGAAGATTTACATTCTGATAACAGAGAAGAGAAACAAAAAATTAAAAGTGCAAAAGATAGAGTGGGCCAAGATGCATGGCAGGACCAAGCTTTTGATAAACAGCTGGATAGCGCCACAAGTGCTGAGGAAGATGTTGATGTCAAGGCCAGGAGGAAAAAAAAGACCCTGAGAAAGGCTGAGGAACCCAAAGAGAGCAGGAAGCTAGAAAATAAGAATGCGTTCTTAGAGAAGAAAACTGTGCCTAAAAAACAAAAGAATCAAGAGAAAGGCAGAAGTATCGAGTTAGAGAAGCTGACACCTGCTGCTGCTCAGATGCCAAAGTGTTTAAGATTGGGTAGTGAAGAGAGAGGCTTCAGGTCCAGTGACTCCACTGAGGAGGTAAGGGTGAAATACTGGAAGCAAACTAGCTCTAGTGTGAGAGGTTAAGAAAGTTTTACAAATAGATAAACTATAAGAAAGTGTTTCTGTCATCAGGGAGTTATTGAATAGTGTGACAACTATTTTAAACTGTTTTAAATGCTGAAGATCTTCAGCTTTTGGGAACACCACCTCCCAGTTTCTTTTTTAGTCTCTGGGTATTTTTTTCTGGCTTATTTTTTTCTTAGATTAATTATAGCCAGAAAACTGGGGACTAATTTGTGAACAAAAGTCAAGGGTTTTTTTTTTTTTTTTTTTTT